TCCATTCTTAGCACATGCCCCAGCCATCTCCAGCATCTCTGCCTCGCATCAGCTGTGATGCTATTTATGCCGGTGCGCCTGTAGACTTCTAAGTTGGGGACATGCTGTTCCCAGCGGATCTTGCGGATGCGGCGGAGGCAGCGTCCTTCAAACCCCCTCAGCCTGCTTTCAATGTCTCGGAAGCATAGAGAAGGATGGATCGGACGTTGGATCTTCAGCTTGGTCCTGGTCTGGAGAGCCTTGGACTTCCAAGCCTGTGCTGCAAATCCAATTCTAGTGGAGATTTCTTTCTCAATGTTGCTGTCGGCAGAAATATAACTGCCCAGGTACTTGAAGTCTCTTACCTCTTTGAGTTCGGTGCCACAGACAATGGTTTTGGTTGTATTTCTGTTCTTCATTTTCATTATCTTGGTCTTGTTTGGGTGGATCTTGAGTTCCATACTCCTTGCTGTTTTGTCCACTTTATCTATCTTTTCCTGGATGTCTTTCTGGGTATGAGAGAGAAGGGCAAAGAATCGGCAAAGTGGAAGTCCTCCAGTCTGGTGGTCAGTCCCCAGACAAGTCCTCGTTGCTTGTCACTGGTGGCCTTCCTCATTACCCAGTCAATGATGATAAGAAAGAGGGTGGGTGATATCACACAGCCCTGTCTAACTCCTGTCTTCAAATGGAACCATTCGCTTTGTTGTCCATCATGATTCACACAGCACTGGTTGTGTTGGCATACATGTCCTTGATGACCTTTGCTGGGAAGCCATATGCCTCAAGGATTTTCCATAATGATGGATGGTGGATGCTGTCGAATGCTTTTTCAAAGTCGATGTAGTTGATGTATAATGATGAGTTCCACTCAAGGGACTGCTCAACTATGGTATGCAGAAAGATATGGTCAATACTTCTCCTTCCAGCTCTGAAGCCTGCCTGCTCTTCTCTTAGAATCCTAAGATCTTTCCTGACACCGAAAGGAGGTTTCTTCCTCTCCAGTTGCTGCAGACTGATAAGTCACATTTCTTGGGTAGTTTGACAATAATACCTCTTTTCCAGGCTTCAGAAACCTTTTCCAATTCGCATATTTGAAGAGTTGAAGAGTTCTTTTAAGACTCTGGCACTGGTGCTGGGGTCTACCTTCAGCATGTCGCAAAGTTAAAACGGATACCTAAATCACAGATCCTTGTAAAATATTTGCCGTGTTCGTGTTAGATATTGTGATCCACACATACTGTATTTAGAATTCACTTTTTCATGAATAAACCTGAAAAAATGGCGAAATCACAATGTTTTCACATCGCACATCAGCGCACAAGTAATCGGCCAAACTTAACTAAAAGCGTCTGATAAAAAGCCCCATTTGTAACGTTCAATAAGGACAACAGCACGTGTTTTTTTTTTCGTTTTCAAACTTACACAATCTATCAACAGAAATGGAGCAGACTAATTTCATATGCTCAAGATGTAAACAACTAAGAAGTATTTTTGTCTGGCTGGCCTTTATGTGAACCGTTCTGCGTATACATGCTGTGACCTCTTTCGCTTATCATGTTGTGGTCGGTATTTGTTTCAGTCCCAAAAATCCTACCCGTCTTATTGAGTAAATTGCGATAAGGCTAGAAACAAAAAACTTAATATATAAGTCGTGATTAAATCTCGTTCTCTCTCCTCTTCTCTTACATGTCATGATAAGAGTAATTTCACGGTGATTTGTTTTAAATATACAATTAGGATAGGTTACGCCTACTTATATTTGTTTCAGTCATAGTAATGCTGAATGGGGACAACCGGATATGAGTCAATGTGACACTGTTACCACAACTCCCGCTACCTATCTATTATACGAACTAACCAAAATATCGCCTAATGCACGTAAGTCTCATTGACCAACAAATTTACCACGCAATGTCTCCCGTTTAACACATCCCCTTTTTTGTTGTGAATTATTATATTTTGTTTTTTTAACCTTAAAAAATATTTTATATTCTTCGATATATTCAGTTTACATCTCAGATTGTCTGTTAACAACTTGTCTACTTATTAGTAATTACGGTAACTATCTTGACAGAAAACGCACCTGGAATTGCCAAAGCTTTATCCAACCTAACCTCTGCTGCCGAGTACTTTGCTGCAGTTGATGTATATTTAGCGGTTTATGTGATTGACAATTTACTAAATACCAATGACACCAACACTACAAGTATTGATGTTGCCACCGATCTACTTAACAGTGTTGATAATCTATTTAATGTTGAACCGGAAGTCTTGGTTACAAGTCAAAGAGATGGGGACACTGCGTCAAGGCGAGTTTACTACTGTAACAGTCATCTCATTTAGGAACAGTTTTTCATATAATATATTTTATCAGCTTTTGTTTGGTCTTGTATGTCAACCATTTTCTGTCATTACATTATGATCTGAGCTTGCTTATAATTTGGGTTGTTTTTTCATATGCAGAACAATTCGTGACAAACCAATTGTTGTCTTGATGTGATGAGGCTTGTTCTTGTGTAAAGTTTTGTCATCACAATATTGAGAAAGATTAATTTTTCATATTATTATATTTATTAGATACTATTTTCATATTATCGTCTAGATGACAATCATATGTCGACCACTGTTCATTCTTTTCAGATTGATCAAAGCAATTGACCAATTAGCGATGGATGTACAAAATGTACAAAATAAAACGGCGACAATAGAAACCGAAAACATTGTTATATCCATAGTTAGGCTTAACACCAGTGTCTATACCGGTATATCGTTCAGTGTATCAGATAATAATCAGGTCAGTAGATAACATTGTGATATTTATTGTTAATATAAACATCACTGTATATACCGGTATATTGTTTAGTGTGTCGGATAATAATCAGGTGAGGTGAGCTGACATGATATAGAGCGACGTTAAGCGATATGACATGGTGTGACGTGACGTTACAGTCGAAGAACTTTAAGTTATATGCCATCGTGATGTAACAGATATTACCCGATGTGTCGTGTTGTGATGTGACATATACTTTAAATCGCTGCATATTGTCCCCTAGATGAACATTGACAATGACAACACTTCACCAATGGATAATGTCAAATCAGCAATTCAGCTGCCATCATCTTTATTAGATGGACACAGTTTTCAAGATGGGTCGTCCAGAGCACAGTTTATATCATATAAATCAAACATGTTCTTTAAGGTAAGGCAAGTCATATAGTGCAGATCAAATTCACTTCAATGTGATGGGAATATCAAAATACGCAATATTCGATAAATCGAATGATGAACACGTATATTACAAACACGTACATGGTCGTATATAATAATGTTTAATACATTCTGACACTAACTATGCGATGACAATCACACATTATAATTACTCGTATCGATTTTTTACAGGCTGTAGGTGCGGCGTTGTCTGACGATGTGATCCCCACATCGAATCATGTGATATCTGACCACAACGTCAGTAATGATACCATATATAAAGTGCTGAATAGTGCAGTCATTGGTGCAAGCATTGGAAGCCTAATTATTAGTGATTTAGAGGAGTCTGTTAAAATCAACCTAACATGGCAAAGAGCAGTGAGTTTCCTATGCAACATACTAACTTAAATCGTGACATAAATATAAAAAAATTGTTGTCACGGGCTTGAATTATTTATATCATGAGTGTTACCCCTCAATCTGATGTGGTTAATATTCGGTCTTTCACCTTAATCATTGTGACTAAAACGACATATTGAGTAGACTATGATATAACGTATTATATATATATTCTATTTGTGTTTTTCGTGAAATAATAATTTTGTAAAATATATTTATTGAATGCTATTTATGTTTTATTGCGTTTTTTATAGTCTCCGATATCCTACTAAACATTTAACCATAATTTAATATTACTGTAATTTGAAAATGTAATATTTGTTTTTATTCAGAATCTTTTCAATCCCCAATGTGTTTACTGGAACTATTCTCTAAATGGTAAGTTTTAAAATTAGTTGAGATTACAGTGATTACACGTGTATGGTTGCATGGCATATTAATGATTTTAAGTAAAGTGTACGATATCTGCCTAAATTGGGAGCAGGACATTCCTATATGTCGATATACAAGTTTGATTGTTTGATTGGGTGGTTGACTAGTGGTCATGTTACTTTCGTGTGTCTTTAACTGTCTCTCTGACATGCTTAGGCCGATTTGGTTGAAAGTAGATACAAACAGTGACAATATATGGTGAACAATGGTATACGTTAATTTGTCTATTGTTACAATTACCTTCGACAGACTGTTGGCTTTTTTTTTACATGCCAAATTTTATGAACAGTTTCTCAGTCATGCCTTGGTCAATTTCATTCAAACTTCGTATAAACGTCACACTTGAGTATCCCTCTATCTAGGTCTTTTATTGTTTATAATGACACAGTCACTGAAAACTGAACGGTCACTATATCATTGGCAGCATCCACCCCCCCCCCCCCAACACACACATAAATACGCACACGTGAAATGATGGCGCAATTAACGACGGTGTTTACATTGCTTTGATAGATGATGTCGGAGGGTGGTCTAGAGATGGATGTAATGTATTAGGTCAAAGTTCGAATAATTTCATCACTTGTGAATGTGATCACCTGACTAACTTCGCGTTACTTATGGTAGGTACAACGTTAACGTGACATCAGCAAAAGTTCGGAACAAATAAAAATTACTACACAATCTTGATTTGAAATAACCTTTTTTATTCCGAGATTAATATGTGTGATTCGTTTTATTTTAATGTCAGACTACTGTAAAAAACAATAATACATTTGTTTCGCTACCTTATCCAAGATATTCGAGCAAGTTATATGTACCTTGTGTGAACCTCGATTAGATTTGTCTATTTTCTGTTGATATATTTATAAATAATAACTCCTTATTTTATAGGATGTTTATGGAACCGCATCTGAATTTGATGAAAGTCACCAGAAGGCATTGTCTATCGTATCTTACATCGGATGTGGTATATCTCTGTTCTGTATGCTTCTGACTCTGATCACATTTCTCGCATTCAGGTTTGTATGTTACTTTATATACCATGTATTATACTATTACGTACATAGTGTAAAACATTCGACCAAATACAAAAGTGTAAGAGATACACACATTTACAGTGGTGTGTGTCAGTTGGAAAATTCTTCTCTTTTTATAATCGTCGTAATACCTCGGCCTCATTGCGACATGTTGTGGTTACAGCAAAAAGCCGTGGTTAACTACGGCTATGATTCTGCATTCATTGTGCGCATGCGCCAATCAGTGTGTCCCATTCCATTACAGTGCCCTCATTCTAAAACAGGTCATGATTGTTCACTCGCTTTCATGACGTTCACTCATGAATATGCAAACTGTTGCTCCCAAATATGAGTATCGTCGTTGTATTTTGCCCGATTATGTGAACACGAAATTGTAATTGTACGCATGCGCAATTACACCTGAAAGCCATCACATTTTGCATAGTGTGTCATTTAAACGTAATTCATTTGTGTATTGTCCAAAATATATTTGTAACTATTACATTTCTTTTCCCTTCTATCTCTCTTATCAGGCGTCTGAGGAAAGACAACCCAACCAAGATACTTATGAATTTGTGTTTTGCAATTTTCATGTCAATATTATTATTTTTGGCCGTTTCATTTTCTGTGGATTTTGCACCAATCATACCCGAGCTTTGTACGACTATGGCTGTTTTGTTACATTATTTCTTATTGGCTGTCATGACGTGGATGGCACTAGAAGCATTCAATATGTATCTATTATTGGTGAAAGTATTCGAGACTTATATCAGACACTTCATGATAAAGTTGTGTCTCATTGGATGGGGTGAGTCACACTTTTAAAATGACTTGATAGGTAGTCAAGGTGATATGCATTTGGATAGATACGGTGGCGTTGTAAGATTTACATTTTCTTAAAAACCACATACCAGACGGGTTCTCCCTCCAGTTAATTATTTTGGCACAAACACTTTTATTTTCGCATTTTGGGTAAAAATGCTTTAATTGGTGCCTTTATCAGATTTGTTCATGCTGTGATTATAACATTTATTTCACTGAATATTTCTGTAATTTTTGACACGATATGTTATTTTTGATTTCTTCTTTAAACAGAACCCTGCTTGCTTCGATATGTATGGATAGACCTCTATCAGATCTCTTCATATTTGTTTCAATTCCACTTTTCCTACACTGAGTTAAAATCCTATCAGAGTAACATCGGCAACAGCGAAGCTCTATAGATGTTTTCACACACATAATAATTTTACTGCCAAAATGTCATTTCATTAACACCTTGCGACGATGCATTACCAAAGTGAAAGTAAATATGATTGGTTAAATGACATTACTGTCATCGTCTTGGACTGGTCAATTAACATACTTATCTGCAAAGATCGTTTATGACATTTCATAGTTTCTGGCGATTGCTTAAATCTGAGTGTGTGATTAGTTATTAGGCAATAACAATAAGCAATACAAAATGTATATTCTGATAGTTTGCATAAACCGTCCTCTGTGTTGTGGTTAGGCGGGTTGATATAAAGTGGCAAATCCTCGAAACACAGACTCAGTTGTACAGCGTTACGAAAAACAAGTATCTATTCCAAAAAAAATTAAGTGAGCTATTTCTGTCCAAGTGTGTTAAATATGCGTCTCGTCCATATAAATAGTGTAATTATTCTTATAAACAAAAATGTTGCCCATATCTGTTACGTAATAGGTATATAGTGATGGTATATACTCCATTAATTTACAAGATTAGTTATACCCATAACGACTGAATTGTCCATATTATTACAGGTACACCCGTGGTTATCGTCGCGATTACTCTGGCAATTGATATTGATAATTACGGTTACCATAACAACATGTGAGTATCAATTTAAATTGATGTAAAAACAATTGTCGATTATGGTTTTAAAAACCTAATTAAATATCGAAATACTTTTTACATGTATTCTCACTAGTACTGCTTTATTATGTTCTTATATGTGTGACTTTATGTAACATTCCTACCTTGTACTGTATATACTCATGGACGGATCTCACTTATATACGTTGTGCATATTTCAGATGTTGGTTATCCAGGTACGCCTTCTTTGCTGCGTTCTTGGCTCCAGTATGTCTAGTACTCATCTTCAATACAGTAATATATATCCTTGTTGTTCACCAAATATGCAGCCTTAATTCTAAAAATATGTCTACATCAGATCGATATGGCAAAGCAGCACAACTTCGTGGATCTGTCAGTTTATTTGTATTGCTTGGTATCACCTGGGCTTTGGCGATACTGGCAATCAGTGAGGCTGGTTTAGTCGTCAATTATTTGTTTGCGATTGCCAATTCTCTTCAAGGATTAATTATATTTATATTTTTCTGCGCTTTGAGGAAGGATGTCCAGAAAGAGTGGAGAGATGCGTTTTGTTCACGTTGTCAGCGTTCATCTCGATCTGCAGGTTAGTCATGTTTCCAATACTGCCGTGTGGTGGCGCCCTCCAATTCCAACTATAGATCAAAGTTGTAAAATAAATTGACGGACGACATAGAATA